AAGTTATGGAAGCTTGTTAGATTATATAAGTAGAGCGGGCGCATTTCATCTGACATTACATCAAGACCAAAATCACTTTTCACCCTGGTGTTCAGCCTAGGCTTATCTCGGAAGCTTGGCCACGGTTGTGGTGAGGTGATTATTAATCTTGTCATTGTCATTTCCACTGCTCTCACATTTTATACTTCCATTAAATATTGTACTACCAGTATATTGTGTACTGCCATTGTAATTGCTGTGCAGTAATTTGAATTGATTTGTAAACCCAGTTAATGTTGTAATACTATTGTTGAATCTATACCATTTGTCGGTTTCACCCAAAAGTCATTCTTGTGCACATTTCTTGGTTAACATATTGTTTCAGCAAGACTATCTCCCATCTTGGATAGTTGAAACATACCTGTACATACGTGTACAGAAAGATTTGTCTCTGTAACTAAAAGTGACAAAACATTTCCATAGGCGATTAGGTGCCTCACTCTGGCAGTGTTGGTTCGAATCCCGGACGGGACTCAAACCAAAAAAAATTATCAAATGTCAAATAAAATAACGTACCTAGGATGAACAATATAAACAATGTCGTACAGAAATATTATATACCACGGATGTTAACATGACTAAAATAAATATTGTGTACCCATCAATGTAGATTTTATACAACGGTGCACAGAAATATTATGTACACTCAATGTTGATTTATACAACCCTGCACAGAAATATTATGTACACTCAATGTTGATTTATACAACGCTGCACAGAAATATTATGTACACTCAATGTTGATTTATACAACGCTGCACAGAAATATTATGTACACTCAATGTTGATTTATACAACGCTGCACAGAAATATTATGTACACTCAATGTTGGTCATACAACGCCTTCATAAATATTATATAACCGTGAAGGTTGATTGATACAAAGCTGCACATGAATATTATACACCCGTGAAAGTTGATTTATACAAAGCTGCACATAAATATTATACACCCGTGAAAGTTGGTTTTTACAAAGCTGCACATAAATATTATATACACCTGTGAAAATTGATTTATACAAAGCTGCACATAAATATCATACACCCGTGAAAGTTGATTTATACAAAGCCGCACATAACATAGTACACGCCCCTAAATGTAGAACTATACAACGTTGCACAGAAATATTATGTAACCCTGACTGTAGATTTATTCAATCCTGCACCGGAATTTTATGTAACCTGTATTTAATTTATACAACGCTGCACATTATAAATATTATGTACACTGAATGTAGGTCTTTGAAAGGCATTTAGAAGTGATACACATAAGGAAGAGAATATATGCATGTCAACTTCTTTATTATGAGGAACACAACGTTTCGGAGTATATGCTTATACTCCTTCACCTGATGAAAGAGTGTCAAGAAGTTGACATCCATATATTCTCTTCCTTACACTGAATGTAGATTTTTATACAATGCCTTCACAGATAGTATATACCCCTGAATGTAAATGTATGCAACGCTACACATACATATTATATACCCCTGAATGTTGATTTATACAACGCTACACATAAATATTATGTAGCCCTGAATGTAGATTTATACAACGCTACACATACATATTATGTAGCCCTGAATGTAGATTTATACAACGCTACACATACATATTATTATGTAGCCCTGAATGTAGATTTATACAACGCTACACATATATTTTATGTAGCCCTGAATGTAGATTTATACAACGCTACACATACATATTATTATGTAGCCCTGAATGTAGATTTTATACAACGCTACACATACATATTATGTAGCCCTGAATGTAGATTTATACAACGCTACACATAAATATTATGTAGCCCTGAATGTAGATTTATACAACGCTACACATACATATTATGTAGCCCTGAATGTAGATTTATACAACGCTACACATATATTTTATGTAGCCCTGAATGTAGATTTATACAACGCTACACATACATATTATTATGTAGCCCTGAATGTAGATTTTATACAACGCTACACATACATATTATGTAGCCCTGAATGTAGATTTATACAACGCTACACATAAATATTATGTAGCCCTGAATGTAGATTTATACAACGCTACACATACATATTATGTAGCCCTGAATGTAGATTTATACAACGCTACACATACATATTATTATGTAGCCCTGAATGTAGATTTATACAACGCTACACATACATATTATGTAGCCCTGAATGTAGATTTATACAACGCTACACATACATATTATGTAGCCCTGAATGTAGATTTATACAACGCTACACATAAATATTATGTAGCCCTGAATGTAGATTTATACAACGCTACACATACATATTATGTAGCCCTGAATGTAGATTTATACAACGCTACACATACATAATTACATATTATTATGTAGCCCTGAATGTAGATTTATACAACGCTACACATACATATTATTATGTAGCCCTGAATGTAGATTTATACAACGCTACACATACATATTATGTAGCCCTGAATGTAGATTTATACAACGCTACACATACATATTTTGCAGCCCTGAATGTAGATTTATACAACGCTACACATACATATTATGTACCCCTGAACGTAGATTAATACAACGTTGAAGAAGAATACACTCAAAGTAGAGTGGGAGTTGTTTATTCTCCACGCAGTGTTTTATAGTACGATATTACGATCGGTCTTGGGTGACAAGGTACAGATAATCGACGTGAGGAATGTGAGAATATGCCGGAAATACCAATACCAAACCCACTGTTCACAAAAAGGACTTTTCCGACATTGCCGAGGTAGAAGTCTATTCAGGGAGTTATCATTATTAAAATGCGGATAAATATTTCTAAAGACTGTACATTTTATCATCATCCCAAAAGAGGCTGTACATTGTGTTGATATCTCATAAAGGAATCAACGACTCGTTATTAATCCTACAACAAAACACTGCAGGCTGAATAAACAATGAGGGGCAGCTATCCCACTTTTGGATGCGATCGTTCCGGCCTCTACGTTTATCTGCATTGCCCAGCTACATCTATGGGGAACAACTCACTAGACATCCCCCCACTGTCATGATAATACAATGTTTTATCGTGCGATTTATCGCGTAGCTATTTCAGGGTAATATAGGATAATATAACATGGTCCTGAGTGTCACAACGAGATACGAGACAATAAAACATATGGCCATAATTGTCACAGCTATACAGGGTAATATAACATGACCCTGGGGTTCACAACGAGGAACACTTCATACACTTGAATGTTGCAACCCCCACCCCACCCACCCCAACCCCTCCCCATATGTTTGTCCTTCCCTGATATACTTCCATCTTTACATTTTCAAAAGCTCTTTATCCCCCCTCCCCACCCCCCACACCCAATCTCTGCACCCCCCTCCCCTCGCCGTGGAACGCTAGCGTGCAGTGATTTTCCTTGTCAGGTAATATAACAAATACTTGATTATATATACACCTGGGGAAGGTTAAACTGCACGCCTTCTTCACATACTGATGGAGATAAGGGAACAATGAAACATAAAGGGAAATTTTCTTTACACTCAGTGCATGTGAAATAGCGCGCATGTTTCCAACGCGTATTTGGTAGACAAGGCAGAAACCAAAGATAGCGCATAAATTTCATCTTCTGTATATCTAGATCTTGCATTTCGGTAATCATACACTCACACCTTAGTGTATGTGTACTGAAATACGAGCCCTAGGCACAATGAGGATGTCAGTATATATATATACCCCGACCTTCTGTGCAACCACTGGAACCAATTACACACGATGTGGATATCATTTTAATGTCGAACATTACAACGATACTTGTGAAAATGTGTTATGAAATGTGGTATGTTCTCGGCGGATATAAACACCGATTCACATCAACTGATGGGTGGAGAGAACAAGAGGGACAAGGCAGTTATATAACTGCCTTGGAACAGGTACAAAACATGTCATGAGGTCGTCGATTTCGTTTTCTGTATTTCAATAATAGTTTGTCACTTTCTTTTCAACACCAAATATCTTTAGTGAAAAAATAGTACATGGATACGGTTCTAAAAAAATACCTAGCTTATATGGAAATATATAGTAAGCGGTGCGCTTGTCTCAACAAACATTCCCATTCTCTTCCCAATCCCATTTAAAAAAACCTTCCGATATCCTCCTCAGCCCGAAGTTAAGAAACCCAATAATAATAATAATGATAATGATGATGATGATGATGATGATGATGATGATGATAAAAGTGACAACAGTTCCGATAATCATAAGAAATATCTACTAAAAGCATAGTTCATTCAACGAATCCGACCTTATCATATGCATGTGCTCATGAATCATTATCGAACATATATATCTATAAAACATGAATTTCATGTGAGATACGTAATCGCTAGGCTGATGCATAGAAGGGATGGCTTTATCGAACTAGAAATCCCCCGAGGGGACGTAAGACGCAAGGTATCAACAGTAGTATCCCAATGAACTAAACCATGATTCCACTGAGGATAAATCAGTCACGTAGCTAATCTAGGATAAAGCGCCGGCATGACATATCCGAAAATTGGATACAAGCCGCCAAAACAAGAAACACATGGTCCGGATTCTTGTCTGCTCCTTCACGAGGATCTTGGGCCTTGCTCTAAGGCTGTGCTGAATGCTAAGTCCATGGGTGCATTGTAATTCTAGGCAAGCCTAGATAAGCGGACAGTACGTCTTTTGCACGATAAGTTGCTCTTATTATTTATATACTTTTATATAATGAAGACATTATTATTTAAATTAATAATTATTGCCTTAGAGACTTGAGCAAGTCTAGAGAATATTCAACGATGTTTAGCTGGACGGCAAATGCTGGGGGTACCTATAACACGCCAGATATCTGTGAAATATATAAACGGCCCCTCCTCACGCACCTGAGGCGCCTGTTTCTCTGTGTGCATACGCTAGGCAGGGATGCTTGTGTTTCTAAATATATACTCACGATCGCTGTCTGGAGAAGTCGCTGAATGGCTGGCCAAGTTGTCAGATCTGTAGACGGCGAACTGACCCTGCTCAAACGAGTACCTGAATGAACGGACGTGTTACTGGCTTCTACCCTTAGCGTTAAAAGGACAGCGTAATGGGTTTAACACACTGGACTATTTTCCCTCCAACAGCCACTCAGTTCAGAAGCCTGGAAAACTGGGTGTATGGTTACATTCAGGGAAAGCCGTGATTGGGCCAGCGCATGAATAGTCTCAGCGGCACATGTGTGTCAATGGGAAGCTGATAGTTGGACATGAATGTTTAATCTCATTTATAGGTTATCAGTCTAGTTCAACAAAATAGGCAGATTGTCGAACATGAGGAAATATTACACCCATAATTATATGGCGCTCAAACAAAAAGGAAGGAGATACATATTGCAACCGAAAACGTTAAAAGCTGCATGATGTGCAGCGATTTACTTCTGGTTCGGGGACATCTGGTTAAAATATTCATAGGTAAGGGTAATTTAATATGTTAGAAATGTTGTGAAACAAACGAAACATGTTGTAATGGCATTTATATTTAATAATGTGTGTGTGTTCTTGAGATTCCAGCATTAAATAGCTTTCCATGTGTTTTACCGTAAATGTTGTTATCAGCGAGTGAGTAAGTGACTGAGATATGTGAGTGAATATTGTTTACGCCGCCTTTAGCAATATTCCAGCAGTATCACGGTGGGGGACACCAGAAGTGAGCTTCACAAATGTAACCCATGTGGGAATCGAACCCGGGTCTTCGGCGTGACGAGCGAACGCTTTAACCACCGGCCTACCCCACCGCTCCGCGAGGCAGGGAAGATATAGGGTTATATTCCAATGATATCGTTGCGAACCGTAATTACTCAAATCTCGGATCTTCACATGGATATGTTCACTGCTTGCGAACACGTCCATGCAATGCTTGGCCCTCACTCTTATGAAGGTTCATACTCCAGTGAAATCGCACAAAATGAAACTCAAATTTGTTTTGAAGACCTATTTTGTGCCTCGAATAATGTATGCATACAATTTCATTTGGTACGCGTGACCTCGTGTTTACACAGCGTGCCATACAGCACCTAGCTGTATCTCGCTTAAATATAGTTCCTTAAGGGATGAACGTAACGGGAAAGTTTCGGAAATTATCAATGAGCCGATGGCGAAACGTATCAGTCATCATTCATCATTAGGCCGATCGTTTAAAGGTAATTATAGCATATGCCGAATAGGTACTGAAGTGTATTCATAAATAGACTTGCACAAATCTCTAAGGCAATAATTATTACTTTTAATCATAATTTCTAGATCATGTAAATAATAAGAACATGTTGTCCCTATAAGAGACATGAGTACTGTCTACATACATAGACTTGCCTATTAGGAGGATAGAATTACTACACACCCATGGACTTAGCTTTCAGTACAGCAGGCCCCTGAAGATCCGGGGTAGAATGGGTCTTCAGCAACCCATACTTGTCGTAAAAGGTGACAATGCTTGTCGTAAGAGGCGACTAACGGGATCGGATGGTCAGGCTCGCTGCCTTGGTTGATATATGTCATCAATCCCAATTGCGTGGATCAATCATGTTGTCAATCACTGGATTGTCTGGTCAAGACCCATTTTTTACAGACCGCCGTCATATAGCTGGAATATTGCTGAGAGCGACGTTAAACAACAAACAAACCAACAAACAAACAAACCAACAAAACAAACAGTGCAGCATTGGCGCAAGGCTAATTCCTAGACTGCTGTAGAGTGCTGTAAAATGTCCCTTTCTGCCTGGGCATGGATTTAATCGATAGTTGTGTGCACAAGGATGAGTCGTAGCAAGGATATTCGATCACAGGCATGCAATGAAACATTCTGACGTTTTCTAATGTATGTAAAAACCTGAATTTAATGTGTCTATTGCTTCCCTTTTTAATTGTGCTTGGCAATTCCAAGGGTTTTCCCCAGGAATGTGAAAACAGTCCTTGAGTGTTTACGCCATTTCAAGAATACAGTCTCATGAAAAACGAAAAGACATTGTCGTTTCACTCTCATGAACGTCTAGACTTGCACAATTATCAGTTTAAATCATAATTTCCTCCGTGGAAAAGCTGCATATCGTGTAGCCTTCGCGTCAAATAAACATTAGTTATACGCCATTGTATAAGTTTCAATAAGTTTAAGTTGATGCTGTATGGGTTTTCTAATTGTGGACAGTGGTAAACAAGTTCCAAGATCACATGACCTTTACAAAACCTGAATGTAGGGTGGCAGAGCGGGGATATCATGTTATCGCCTTCAATCAGGCCTCGAGAAAGCGATAAAGCGATAACAGAAGACCAGAAAGCGACAGAACGAGACGAGAAAGCGATAGCGCGAGACGAGAAAGCCATATGTATATGCTTTCTCGTAGCGTCGTTCTGAAGCTTTCTCCAGATATCGCTCTCTCGCCTCATTCTATCGTTTTCTCGCTTTCTCGCCCTGTGGCTGTTTCTCTCGTGGTATCGCTTTCTCGTCTCGTGTTTTCGCTTTCTCGCTTTCTCGCGACCGCAAATGAATACGATAACGCGAGGTTCCCGCTCGACCACCCTTTGAATGTGACAACGGCAGAGATTGATAACAGCTATTACAAGTAGTGTACCCAGCCGTCAGCATACAGCTGGTCATAGCACGCAGATAACACCACCAGGAAATAAGTTTAAGGGACAGATGTTGTCTGGAGATCAGATATTTTAATCAGCTACAGCTGAGTCTGAATATTGCCTTAAGAAAAACAATTTAAAACAATGCAAAAAAAATTAAGCATGGCCCCATACAATGGACGTTGCTACATATAACGTTATCCAACCATCTACCTCCATGTTATATAGGTCTTCAGCAATCAATGTCATGCTTGTCGTAAGAGGCAACTAACGGCATCGGGTGGTCAGGCTCGCTGACTTGGTTGATGCATGTCATCGTGTCCCAATTGCGTGGATCGATGCTCATGATGTCAGTCACTGGATTGTCTGGTCCAGTATCGATTATTTACAGATCGCCGTCATATAGCTGGAATATTGCTGAGAGCGGCGTTAATCAAAAGAAAAAGAAAAAAACTGTCGAATCGACATGCTGTAAAACCAGGAAGAAACTGTATCAAATGTAGTATTTCCTGGAAGCCAACTTCCCCAACAGGATGAAGAAACAGATAATGTGCAAGGGTGTTTCATCAACAAACAGATTAAGCTGATTGAACAGGATCTTTTCTATGGATCTATTTTCGTATTAAATCTAAATGTTGCCATGAACCGTTCTAGGCTTTGTGAAATAGTGAGTTGGGTTTATCGTCGCTTTGAACAGTATTCAAGGTACATCACGGTGTGACTGCTTAATGTGGGAGGAGAGCCCGGCGTGATGCCGAAGTGATCTACAGGTCCTAGGCTGGATACGGGCCTATTCCATAGAATTTTGTATTTATCATTTTGCATGACGTCCTCTGCATATTCTGAGCCTTACCATGGATGGACTTGTGTCGAAACCATGAACATGGTGAACACGGTAATAAAATGATCGCGGCACGCAACCATGTCGCTTAAGATACTGTGTCTGTGCCAAAGCTGGGCGTCCAATGACAATGTGTTGAACAGTCTCATTAAATTCATTGCATTATCTACATTTCATATTTTCATTTTGATGCAAAATCACACATTGACGGTTTTGAGTGTGAAATGAATGGTCCTGAGCAGCAAACAGAAAGCCTTCTTAACACACTGCACATAAACTCGATGCATTGGTCGTTCAGATAGCGTCTCCTTTAAAAACTGGGCCGATTTGATATGGCACTTCGCTTGGTTGACATTCATTTCTGTCCAGCAGTACAGAACCACCAACAGAATCGACATTGACATTGAGATAATGTCCCACATCCTTGGCTCGTTTAAGAAAACTGTGGAATGCCTTGTTTTCATCACGAATCTTAACATCCTTCACAAGAGGATCATCAGACAAATAAGTGTGTGCAAAAGTGCACAATACAATCTGTCATGAAGAGCATCCACGTTAAAAACCACCACCACCACCCCACCACCGAGCGAGTAGTAGTAGTAGTAGTAGTAGTAGTGCTGGTGGTGACGCGTGTTACATTCCTACCAAAGAGCCAATAATTTGAAAGTATGGCCCTGACAACTTTGCATGCCGTTGCCAAACTCCACTCCAAGACTTCAAAATACCCAAGCCAATATATTGTGTCCCCCGCCGTGATATTGCTGGAATATTGCTAACGGCGGCGTAACATAGAGAAACTCACTCACTCACTCACACTCATACTCACACACTCTCTCATTCACTCAACCACCCAAACGTATAGAAATAGCGAATAAAAGTGACAAAACCTTTCCCTAGCCACAAGAAATCTCTGCTAAAAACAGAGTACATTGTACGATTCCGACTATATCATGTACATGTGTTCATAAATCACTATCACATAGTGGTGACACCAGGCGTTACTGCCCCACAAGTGGAACCAGTTACAAGCACAGGCCCAGCACCCAGAGTTGAAGAATAATAGAATATGCGTTTTGTGTCATCATAATTTCTGAGGATATAGTTAAATATATACATTACTTTGCGTGTTGGTCAAACTTTGTAGAATAGTAAAGCAAATCAGGTGAGCAGGTCCCACGGCAGACACAGACTGTGTGAGTATATATTATATATACCCGAGAAAATGAGTTTCCGAATCACAAGAATATGGCACTGTGATCTTTCGATCATAGTTTAAAGTCGCGGAATATAGTCAGACAATTCCTATGATCAGTATTAGGGAACGACCGCTTTTAAATTATTTCGAAAGCTAATATCGATCCAGGATGGGCAAGCTGACGGAAAGTACCGTCTCGCATATGTACGGAAGCCTTTTAGGACCATTTGTTTTTTTTAGTTGGTGTTTTTTCTTGAAATTTCAGGATAATAAGTTGAAATTTCTTATATTAACTTATCTTGAAATATTTAGTATGTTGTAATTTCAACTTAGTATCTTGAAATTTCAACATAACATCTTGAAATTTCAAGAAATATGAAAAAACAAATGTCCCTAAAAGGCTTCCGTACATATGCGCGCCTCCGTATGGAAATCAACATCGTGGTTCGTTTCTTGGGGTTCTGGCAGACCCGGATGGAACAATATTTTCAGAACTCTTTTGACATTGCTTTTGGATTTCTTCTGAA